AAACCGCAAGTCCAATTGCTTTGATATTACATATATAGGTACTACATGTGGTTCTAACTCAGATTTGTTCATTTCATGATGATATCTTCAATTCTCTAATTTGAAGAATATTTTTGTAATTTTTGGTAAAAAAGTGATATTTTCCACTTCTTGTTGAAAACCGCAAGTCTGATTGTTTTGATATTTTCTAATGATATTTTCTAATATTCTTTAATTGAAATGTGCATTGCTATCTCAGCCGACAGGCTGCTTGTTTAAAATTTTAGCACCTTCATCTAAAACAGAAAATGAAAATGATATTTGAATTACAATTTATGTTTGTAACCTTTCTTTTCTGCCCTGTACATTTGTTCTGTACAATCTTTTGTATCTCACAACAGCAATAAATAGTAGTTCTCTGTGATCTGTATGGCGCAGTGTTTTTAGTAGCATGATAAATTTATTCACTAAACATAGCTGCTAGCTGTTATAATTACATTAAACTAGTCTCAAAGTTTTAGTTGCCAAGTAGTACATAATTAGTATTGTTTGTCAGCTATGCAGAGGCTTTATCAATGTATGCACTACATTCACTGTTTAATTTTATTGTTTTAATAACAGTTTGTCCTGATTGCTAAATCCACTCGTGGTTGCTATGGGCAAACCTAGCAATTTGTTTTTGACATTGCTTCAATCATTTCTAAATTTATAAAAATGCATTTTTAAGAATGGTTGCTATGAGCATGATTAAAGTTGCTAGGGCATAATAGAGAATTGCAGGAAACTATTCCAAATCACCAACTGAGGCAATTAGGTATCCGTCATTTGTCAAATTTTGATATAAATGACTTCTTTGTGAAAACCACCAGATGATCTATGTATCAGAGCATCCACCCACCTTCCCTCAGTTTGTGTATTTATAAGCATAATATGATTTCAATTAAACATAGAAAACAAATAAATAGTAATTTTAATTTTTTTTTGCAGGGTGTGAAAATTTACGATGTGAGTTCCAAACGAAGAATTACATACATAGCTAAAGATCATGACCCAAGCCTTCGTCCTGAGATATATAGATGTAACTTGTGTTGGAAAGATGACATTACATTGCTAATAGGATGGGCAGATAAGGTCAAGGTTTGTAGCCTCTGACATTGTGAATAAAAAAAAGTTTAAGATTAATGGTATATGGCGACCTCTGATTTTATGAATACAAAGCTGATTGGGTCAAGTTATGAAATGACCTCTGACATTCTGAATAATTGGGTTAGATAAGGTCAAGTTATACAGTGACTACTGAGATTCTGAATAATTGGGTGAGATAAGGTCAAGTTATACAGTGACCTCTGACATTCTGTGTTATAGGGTTAGATATGGTCAAGTTATACAGTGACCACTGAGATTCTGAATAATTGGGTTAGATAAGGTCAAGTTATACAGTGACATCTGACATTCTGTGTGAATAGGGTTAGATAAGGTCAAGTTATACAGTGACATCTGAAATTCTGAATAATAGGGTTAGATAAGGTCAAGTTATACAGTGACATCTGACATTCTGAATAATTGGGCTAGATGAGGTCAAGTTATACAGTGACCTCTGACATTCTGAATATTAGGGTTAGATAAAGTCAAGTTATACAGTGACCTCTGACATTCTGAATATTAGGGTTACATAAGTTCAAATTATACAGTGACCTCTGACATTCTGTGTTATAGGGTTAGAGAAGGTCAAGTTATACAGTGACCTCTGACATTCTGAATAATTGGGTTAGATAAAGTCGAGTTATACAATGACCTCTCATATTCTGTGTTATAGGGTTAGAGAAGGTCAAGTTATAGTGACCTCTGAAATTCTGAATAATTGGGTTAGATAAAGTCGAGTTATACAGTGACCTCTGACATTCTGTGTTATAGGGTTAGATAAGGTCAAGTTATACAGTGACATCTGAAATTCTGAATAATAGAGTTAGATAAGGTCAAGTTATACAGTGACCTCTGACATTCTGTGTAATAGGGTTAGATAAGGTCAAGTTATACAGTGACATCTGACATTCTGAATAATTGGGCTAGATAAGGTCAAGTTATACAGTGACCTCTGACATTCTGAATAACTGAGTTAGATAAAGTCAAGTTATACAGTGACCTCTGACATTCTGAATATTAGGGTTAGATAAGATCAAGTTGTACAGTGACCTCTGACATTCTGTGTTATAGGGTTAGATATGGTCAAGTTATACAGTGACCTCTGACATTCTGAATAATTGGGTTAGATAAAGTAGTCATACAGTGACTTCTGACATTCTGAATAATAGGGTTAGATAAAGTCGAGTCATACAGTGACCTCTGACATTCTGAATACCCCGGGTAATAGGGTTAGATAAAGTCAAGTTATAGTGACCTCTGACATTCTGAATAATTGGGTTAGATAAGGTCAAGTTATACAGTGACCTCTGACATTCTGTGTTATAGGGTTAGATATGGTCAAGTTATACAGTGACCTCTGACATTATGAATAATTGGGTTAGATAAAGTCGAGTCATACAGTGACCTCTGACATTCTGAATACCCCCGGTAATAGGGTTAGATAAAGTCAAGTTATAGTGACCTCTGACATTCTGAATAATTGGGTTAGATAAAGTCAAGTTATGAAGTGATCTCTAAGCATTTGCGGTCTATATACTCTAATGTGCTAGTAATATGTATTTAACTTTATTAATTATCATTAGATTTGTAAGGTGAAAGAAAGAGCACGCCATGATGTCAGAGATCTGCCTAGTCGTTATGTCGAAATAGGTGAGATATGATGACATAATTTATTTGAAACATACAAATTTTTGAATATTTGTCAATATTTGAAACCAATAAACCATCATCCAGCCCACTGTATTGTAATGTTATTGCATCAAATGACGTGTTAAGTAATTTTGTATGTCTCTTGGTATAACCGGGCCACATGATGTACGTGTGCTGTACGTACTTTGGTAATTGAGATGTACATCATGAATATATTAAATGGGTGAATAGCTTTGCGCAGTTATGGCGGTTGATGTTTTTCGATAATCGACAGAAATATTACCATTCTTAACAATATTTTTTCAAAATAAACTTTCTGTCGTATTATCACGAATTACTGGCATTGTACTATAGGAGTAATTGTTATCCAGTCTGAAATTCTCATATTGCAGAGACAACGAATGTCCATAAAATGATGACATGTAGCATGACGATTACCATACCGATTCGGTTAGTGGTATTTCACACAAAACTTCCCAACTATGAATGATATGCATCATGGTTACGTAATGATGAATATATAATTATACATTGCAGTATCTATGTTCAAGACTGATTTCTACATTTCTGGGATAGCTCCACTTGGTGATAATCTCGTACTTTTGTCGTACGTAACTGAGGGACCTAAACAAGAGGTAACTTTTTAGCATATGTTGAAAGAAAGAATGTATTGTGTTGCTGTCACATATGTCACAGTTTGTAATCTCTAGACCTGGTGGCTTTGTTATTCATCTGATGTGCACTTCATTCTGATTTGTAACACTAGCATCAAGTCTATGTGAATATTGAATTCTGCCAAACTAATTCTGCTTGCATTCTCTGTGCTCGTTGTCTGTAGTCATCTTTTCTGAAGTTGTCAAATTTTTGTATTAAAAACAGCTTGGACATAGGATGTGTACATGTAGGTATATATACCTAGGCTAGGCTATCATCAAATTTCAGTGAATATTTTTGTTTTGTCATTATTTGTTGGAAAGATCAAAAAGATTTGTTCATTTTGTTTTCCATTATTAGTCTGGAAAGTCTGGACTAGTGTTTTAGGTCCTGTCAAAGTGTCCAATGTCGCCGTTGCTCGATCTATTTTGTTTGAAGTTGGTACAAAGAACAAAATAGTCATACAGTGACCTCTCACTAAGTCACACCTCAATAAGATTTTGGCTAAGTTGCGGGTAGTTGGATGGCTCCCAAAAATTCAGTTCCGTTTTGCCTACAGTTTTGAAGTAAAACAACAAAATAATGTTTTCTTGCATTGCGTATCTAATTGGCTGTTAATGGCCTGGAGGAGATTACTGAAATACAAAGAGTGAAGGCAGCCTGACCTAAGGTGTCAACAGGGGTGTCAAGTCGCGACTTTACGTACTTCTTGGCTGGTCCGCTTTTGATATAGCTCCATAAAACCGACTACAAAGAGTTGAATTCATCACACTGATTTCTAGTTTTCAACTGAGCAGTATGTCTAAGCGAAAGCTATCCAGTCAGTCCATACGTAAAAAACTCACAGTGATCAACTATTTCAAGAAAGGTGAAACCTAGACAAAGGTTGCACAATCGGTGAGTCCACAACTCGTGGGTGGGTAAAGAATGTAGAAAAGCTGAGAAAATTTGTTTTGAAGAATACCAAGAGACGGACTAAACAGAAATTGTGCAAAATTGTCCAGCAATGATGACATCGATAAAGCTGTGGTATTCTGATGTTTTACAATAAAGAAATTGTACTATAAATAAATCCATGTGTGTATGTCCTTTTATCCTTTTTACAATGCATGAACCCTCTTCATGAGTTCTCTCTGTATAAGTCATGAGCCAACCCCGATATGTCATGGCTTTTGCTTGGATCCTGCCACCTGCAACTTAGCGAGGGGTCACTGTACATGCTCATCAATTTGTTTTTCATTTTGTAGACTTTTGATTTCAACATAGACCTTCCAGTAGTACTGGAGGGTCTGTGATTTCAACTATTAAATTATTCAAATAATTTACATTTTATTACTTTGTGATATAGGATGAAGCCGATGGCTCAAGACGACCACAACTGCGTATATTAGAACCTAAAATGGATGATTATGAGGAATTGTCATGTGATGCTTTATCAATACGTGGTTTTCAAGAATGCCGACCGAATGACTATCATCTGGAACATGTTGAGAGTGAGAATCTCTTCTACATCGTTAGTCCTAAGGACATTGTTGTTGCCAAACCAAGAGATCTGGACGACCATGTGGCTTGGATGATGGACCATGACAAGTTTGAGGTATGTGTGTAATGCATCTCATTTTCATCCAATTCTAAGAAAATTGCGATTTTAATATTTATATTTGCATAATTAACCTGTCATGTTTATAGAATATCCTGATAAATATAAAAATAAACTTATTTTCTAATCTTGTTTAAAAGTACCATTATCAATTA